TCCTGCCGAAGCTTTTCCTGCAGCTGGGGGCAAGGAGAGACCTTCTGCAGGGATTCTCCTGCACCCCAGACTCCCTGTACCGCCGTGGCAGAGCTAACAAGGTTTCTATTTTGAAACAGCCATGGTATTTACATAAAACCTGAAGGAGCTTCAAGTCTTTAAAACTTTAAAACTTTATTGTTCTGCCAAACATACCTAAAACAGCCCAGAGATCCAGAGGTTACTGAAGAGGGAGACAGACACACAACTACATAAACCTGATTTCCGTAGGAAGCCAGGCTAATAACGACCAGTAAGGTAAGAGCTTTCTGCCACTGCTGATCCGCGTAGGATTCAAACCAGTTACCTGGTTATTTCATTGACACACCTAAGGTCTGGGAAGGAACAGGATGAGCATGAAGCAAATTAGGGAATGGGAATGCCAGAAATAGAACAGAATGCAACTTTCAGGACAGATTAGACTGCAGACCTTCCGAACAAATAAAGAACAAATAAAAAGCCATGACCCCTTAAATTACTTGCAATTTTTTTGTCCCAGTATACCTAAATGGGATTCACTTCAGGAATACTCATTTAAGCAATATAACACGTTTGTTTATATAACATGATAAACAAATCATGCCCACTCCCTATATTTACAAGTTACTAGTTCCAGGAAGTTTTGAGCATCAATAGTCATCGATTAGAGCTCGGTCAGTTTGGAGCCTGTGGAAATGCTGCCCGGACCCAGCACTCCCGTCTGTCACACTGGAGCAGGAGCCTGTACCTTGCTATGGAACAGGAGGGAAATGAATGTGAGTTGTCATTTCTTAGCAGTAAAAAACCCTACAGGCTCAGTATAGGATCTTAAAATTAGCAATGAACTTCTCAGGGGAAGTATACGGCACAGCCTGGATCAGCATCCATTCCGTTTTCTTACAGAGTCCCCGACTGTCCTGCGGTAACCAGAAGGAAGCGTGAAGTCTGGATTCACAGTATTTTTAATTTTGCCTTGCAAATGTCTCAGATACTCAACCATTAGCAAACATTAAAAATAGCAACAATTTGCGCAGATGTAGGGTGTACAAGTTTTTTACATACTGTTCCAGATCGCTTACCTACCGTGCACTTTGCTTGTCAGAGCATGCAGAGGGAATGATACAGATACGAGGCTTTATTAGCTGTACAAAACCCATATATAATATTTGTATTTCTTGTCCTACTACGGAGCTACATTAACACTTGCAGAGTGCTCAGAGCGCTTTAGGTAAGTTATCACCACTGCTGCTTAGCAAGAGCAGTTTATGAGTAGGTGAAGAACAAGCTGAAGATGGTTCAGCACAGTTTCACCCAGTTATTTTTGTGACAGAAATCACTCATTCCCAATTCCCGCACACACAGCTCTTTGTAAAGGGCTGGCAATCCTCCTGGAAGAAGTCACTAATTACTACTATACAAATTAAGGCTGCTAGCATGAAACAACCCTGTGCAGCACCCCCTTAAAAAAAAACCCAACACCCCCCCCCCCCCCCCCACCCCCGTCTGCCTCGCATCTCCACGGTAGGAAGAGATCTCCTTTACTCACAGCAGGGTGCAAGGCAAGAGAGGGAGGGAGGACGAGCTTTGTAAACAAGGCGC